GGTCATCCAACCTCCTCTTAAAAACCCCCAGGGTGGGAGCCTGCACCACCTCACTTGGAAGCTGGTTCCAGACCCTAGCCGCCCTGACCGTGAAGTAGCGCCTCCTGATGTCCAACTTAAACCTTCCCTCCGCCAGCTTGTGACCATTGTTCCTGGTCACTCCTTGCGGCGCTCGGGGGAACAGGGACTCCCCCAGCGCCTGCTGATCCCCCCTAACCAGTTTATAACAGGCCACAAGATCCCCTCTCAGCCTTCTCTTTTGAATGATTACCATTTTTTTAAACTTTGGTTTGCCATTTTGAAATTTCCAAGAGTGGGGAAACTAAGATGAAATGACATGTTACACTTAGACCATACTATATCTGTGAAATCTTCAAGTGGTATTAAAATTAGAACATCTGAGCAGTCACACATTAAGAGTTAATACTGTTTCTTGCCTGCCCAGCTCTGACTTGCTACTAAATGGCTGCTAAGCAGGGGCATGGCTAGGAGCCAGGACACCTGAGCTATATTTTGCTCTGGGGAGGAGGGAAAGGGGGTAGAAGGGAGGGAAGATGCAGTGGTGGGAGCAAAGAGCTTGGAGTTAGAAAGGCATGGGGCATGGGACTGTGGTGTCCCTCCACAGGCCTCCATGTTCCCATCCTGGAGCAGTGGGGTGATAGGGGAGGCTCTGCTGCAGGGAGCTCTCCATTGACCCCTGCTGACTGCTCTCCCCCAAAATCATCTCTGCCACCCAATCCTTCTCCAGAGAGGCTGCACCTTTTGCCTGGATCCCAGCAAAAGCCATGGAAAAGTTCAGTCGACCTCAGTTACTAGAAGTTAATTGAAATTTTCCTGTGCTGTCTGACCCATTTCACTCAACTGCTGCCAGCTCTCCCATGGCCAGGTGGCTTAAGGTTCCCATCCTGGGGTTGGAGGTGGGGAGAGGACTGTGCTTTCTGTATGAATTCCCTGAGATTTAGTGCAGTGAGAGCATGGAGCCCCTGAGAGTGGGAGAAGCATGCTACTGTGCTAAACCTTGGTGGCTCCACTTCCAAGAGTGTGGAAAGTTCATCTACAGAACAGGAGATGGTAGAACTCAGTGCAGTACATCCTGAGATGCTGAAAGACTACATATTACTCATTTTACCTCTGTGGAGCAGACTGTAGTTACCCTAACATGATCAAGGTAGCATGGCCCAGAGTTAACCCTCCCCTGAAGTGGCATAACTTTTTGATGCTCAGAGAGCATTTTGCATGAAGTAATAAACTTTAACATGGGGACACTCACATTTTAAGTAGGAGTGTGTGAAGCAGGCCCTATTCAATTTGGATTCGGATTCAGCCCGAGTCAGGGACAGTGATTTGATTTGTTGATTCAGATCACTGTCCCTGATTCAATTCGGCCAAATCCAAATCTGAAGATTCAATGCTGATTCAGAGAATCAGCGATTTGGATATAGACACAGTTTTAAAAGTTTTTTCTACATACCTTGAGGTAGCAAGCATGGCTCACGATGCTGGGACACATGGAGTGTCCCACAGGAGTGCAGGGGGCCCCTCCATGTGCTTGGTGGTGAATCTGGAAGCGGACCGGAAGTACTTCTGGTCCACTTCTGGGTCTGCCGGGGAGCATGCCAGGGGACCCCTTGTGCCCTCCTGGCTCAGCGACTGGCCACAGGGGACCCCGGGTGCCCCCCAGACCCAAGAGGCACCAGTCACTGAGCCAGGGGGTGTTGGGGAGGCTGGCCATGTGCTCCCACTTCTGGGTCTGCTACTAAGTTCGCTGTGGACCCCCCTGAACTCCTGTGGGATGCTCCATGTACCCCAGCATCGCAGCACTCACGAGCCCCTGCTACCTAGAGATATGTAGAAAAAAACATTTAAAACTGTGTCTATGTCTGAATCTCTCCAAATCTCTCTAGAGGATTCTGATTCAATTTAGAGAGATTAAAGGGTCCTCTGATTTGTTTTGTATTTGGAGATTTGGCCACCTAATCAAGCTGAATTTCTGCCGAATCCAATTTGGGGCACCAAAGCTTTGAACAGCCCTAATTTTAAGTACCCTTAGTATGGTCTAAGTGTAATGGGTAACTTTAACTGCTTTCTTGTGCCTTTGAAATTGTGGTCCTAAGCATCAGGCTATCTTGACAGGCTGGTGAGGGTTTTCAAGGCTGTTAAGGAAAAAACGTTTTTGGTTTTAGAATCTGTACTTTGGCAAACACAAAAGATAGTATAAGTATAAAGTTCACATGAAGCCAATGTTAGCATGATGGATTTCCATAATTCTTGTTCATGGTTTAGCCCTCAATTCAGCAGACCTTGAAGAATTTTTAAAGCCAAGCATGCGCTTAAATACTCTGCTGAATAAGAATCTAAATGGCAGTACTCATATATTAATACATTAATTTTAAAATTCTGTTCTAATGATGAAAGTCTTAATATAATTGATGTGACCTGTTTTTTACTGCATATACATATTTTATTATTTTTATCTTAAATTGATAGACAAACTCATTTGAATGTAGCGATCACTAATTAGATATTTGCTTAAAACTTATTAGAAAAATATGGTAACTTTAGGAATAAGAGAAAAGGTGGTATTACATTCAAATTAGGCGTCCTCATTTTGAATTCATTCTCTCATTCGTGCTGTGTTTCACATTTCTTTGTTTAAAGGTCTTGGTAAAGCTGTGTGGTATGTCAGTAAAAAAAGAAACTGGACAAAACTGTAACACAGTAAAGAAAAAATCATCATTAGAGCAGCCTAACATTTTTCAGCTGAAACTTTACATAGGCAAAAAAGCAAGCCAGATTTGCCCATATTGATTCAAAATATTTTACTTGTCTTGGAAATAAAAAGCAAAAAAAGCCAAATTATTTCCTTCTTGTTGAAATTTGGATTTTTATTTCATTTCAGAACTTCCCTGTTTATTTAAAAAAACTCTCAATATACTGAATTTTAATTCACTTAAAACTTCAGTCCACCTGCAACAAAGCGGCAAAAAAAAAGATTTTTTTTTCACCTTTTCAGTTCAACAAATTGTTTTTTTATATTTCAGAAGTACTAACGCACCAAAATCTTTTGTTCACAGAGATCTGATCATCCTATTATTTGTAGAAAACTTTTACTGCTTTTCACTTTCTGATAGAAAGCCGGGTCCTTCAGTCCTGACAAATAAGAAGAGAGAGGTAGTCAGCCATGTTAATCTCAAGTCAAGTAGAAGGTATGGTGGAGTTGCACCTTAGAGAGTAACTGAATCACAGATACATAATCCTCTGTGAGCAATGGTTCACTTTATGAGAGAACTCTAGAAGCACATACAGCTTTATCACATAGCATTATATGACAGATTAAGCTGTTGCTCATAAAACCTTATGTAACTCTGATTTGGTTAGTCTACCAGGTCCAACACTACCCTGCCTTCTGTCAAGCCTAACAAATGTTTGAATAGTATTTACATATGCAAATAAAACCATTGAACCCTAGAGGGATTACTCACAAGTAACCCAGAATGAGTGGTCCTGTTGAAGTTAATGTAACCGCTCACGTGATAAAGTAGTGCTCAAAATAAAGCCTGCAGTTACAGGTTCAGAGATGTAGGTTTTTTCAACGTTCCCTCACTTTAAAAACAAGAATTATTCTATTTGATTTTTGGCATTTCAGAATCACAACTACTGCTGCTTGTATGATGGACTTGAGAAGATACCCACTGGATGAACAGAACTGTACTCTGGAAATTGAAAGCTGTATGTATATAAATAAATGCAAGTCATGCCAAACAGAGAGTTTTTATTTACATAGTCTAACAGATATATGAATTTGTGTCAATTCTTAAAAAAAAATTAATTTGTATTTATTTACTTTTTGCCTCCTTTAAAATGTAAGGGAATTATTAATTTGAGGCTTGTATGCAATGCTGATAAAAAATGGGGCTAGGAGACTGAATGAAGTAATTTATCACTCCAGCCTGATTAGCCAGAGCCAGTGACTGGATGCTTATCTATAACATGAGAGAATGGATGTTCATATTTTAATCAGATTCACTTTGAACAGCACAAACATTGAGAGAGAATTTTCCTTCAGTGTGTTTTACTATGCATGAATGGTCTTGTTGCAGGACCCCCTGGGCTGTCAGATAGGCCCATTTATGATCTGGAATTCACTTCTACATAAAAACAGATTCTCTCTTCAACCTAGTCATTTCCTGTAATTGGAATATTCAGATGCTTTATAATTGTAGTTCAAGATCCACTGCTCCATTTCTATGACATGATGGAGAATACTGGGAACATCTGCATACATAAAATATCAGTACACGGTACCCTGAACTCCTTGTGTCATTTACACTTGCTCTCGTCCCTTTCCCACTGGAGTTAATGGACCTCAAAGAAAATTCCTGTCCAAAAGATATTAATTTGCACTGATGGACTAGTCCAGCTCTTATGATATTTAACAAAGCATCACTTGGTTTTGGTATTGGATAGCTAGCTGGGGTACAGGCAGCCCCCCCACAATGTAGCACCCGCATGCCCCAGCAAGCTCCGGTCACCATCTACATGTGTGTTTCAGTGCACGTAACTACTGCACCGTAGGGTAGTACTTGTCCACGACAGTACTATTTTGTGGCAGAGTTAATTAATTTCCTGAGGGGCTTACTAGTGAACTCTGCAGTAAGGCACACATGTAGCTGTACCCATGATTTTTTACATTACAACCATCTGTAATAAGGTTCCTAGAATAGAGTGTTAGAGGGGAGACACTTCCTGATCATGCTGTTTCTTTTATTTTTGCCCTAGATTTCAGAAGAACTATTTGGAGAGAAAAAAAGAGTGGGGAGGCAACAATCTTTGTGACCCTGTAATAAAGACTTCCTTAAAGACACACTCTCAAAATGATAACATATGAAAATCCCCAATAAGGAATAAAATAGCATCCAACAATTCAACTGCTATGCCCTAATTCTGTCTGCAAACTTTTTAAAAGATAAACCATCTACTAGATGTTTAATGGTTAAAACATGGTGTGATTTTTCTTCCTTATATTTTCTGCCCTGTTTCCAGATGGCTATACCACAGATGACATTGAGTTTTACTGGAGAGGTGGAAATAATGCAGTCACTGGTGTAGAGAGAATTGAGCTTCCTCAGTTCTCCATTGTAGAACACAGATTGGTGTCAAGGAATGTTGTCTTTGCCACAGGCAAGTGTTTTCATTTTTTGTTTGTCATGCGTACATACAGAGTTTACTTCCTTACATGTCAGTTATTATGCTAGTATTTTATATTACTATACAGTCATAGCGCTGCCAACTATACTTGCATTAAGAAAAATTGTTATCTGGTAAATCCATTATGCAGTAACCCATGAAGCAGGACTACTTCTTTCCAGAGACATAGTTGTTGACACTGGATTTGAATCCGGCACCTATACCTTTGTTCCCGGCGGGCACAACCCTCAGACCAACCACAACACCTGCCAGTCGATAATCGGCGAATTTATTGATACAGAGTAAAAACAAAAAAGCAACAATACAAACAATCAAATAATTCTATATCTACCAATCCTAGGGCTGTCATCAGAGTCAAAGTACATCTGGTCAAGATACAGGCTCCACTCTGAGACTCTCTTTCTTAGGTGTCAGCAGTCTGGAGGTAGGATGCCAAGACCCACAGCCCCCCTCCAGTGGGGTGGATGAGAGGGACTGCTGGTATGCCCTCAGTCCATGGTGACCTTGAGGACCCTTCCCACGGGACAGGGATAGGAATGAGGACCCTTCTCAGGGAGCAAAACGGAGAAGGACAGGGAGGCATGGGGCAAAGGAGGGGACAGGCAAAAGGAGGGACCCTTTGTTAATCCTGATGACTCTTCATCCATGGCTGTCTGTGGCTGGCTCTCTCTCTGTGGTCACATGTCCACGTAGCCTTCCAGGCCTTCTCCTAATTTGGTCTGTTCCCCCAAGACCAGGACTCAGCCCCCCTGCTTTCAGGGACCTTGTTCCTGGTGTCACTTATCTAGTGTTATGGGACAGTATGGTTACATACGTCTTTGCTTCCCAGGCTGTTTCCTAGACTCTGGGCCCCTGTTGGTCTTGTGCTAGACAGCCCGTCTGCCTTGAAGGCTGTGATCTTGTGTTATGGGAGGCCCCCCTTCAGTTTTCAGTCTGTGTCTATCATTGGCCACAGCTTTTTTACTCTATTACCTGGCCTCATTTCTGAATCTTACTAAATAAGACTAAAAATATAGAAATGTCCTTGATAGGTTCTATTGTAATTAATATTCATATGCCTATTGACCCTTCTTGGAGCCATGTCCTATCCTAAACCAGCTCTGACTGGCATCAAACCTCTAAAAGCAGGCTAAGCAACTTTTAGCCTAGTTCTTTTTAACCTGTCTTTCTTGAACTTTCTAAAACTGCTTTCACCTTTGACATTCTCTTGCCTGCTCATTTCCTTTTCCTCTTCTGCTCTTACATAAACTTTGGTCAAGCAAATGATATGCCATATTGCCATTAAACAGTTTAAGGCCTACTATAGTCTGCAGACTCACCCCTCCCCTTAATAGGGGCCTGATCTCTGGGAAGGTTCCTAATACAGATCTTCAACATTAACAAAAGGTAGTTATAGATGTGACTAAGTGCAGCATGTATTGAAGAGTGTAACTTTAGGCACCCACATGTGAATTTTGGCTGTATGACCTGCTAAAGACACACCGTGAGACACTGGCAAGACTAGGATGACAGCTGAGGAGCTCTAGGTTGTTAGACCACAAAAGCATGCTGCCTATTGCACCTATTCTTTCAAAGCACTTTGACAAACTAAACATAGATGTTTACAGCAACCACTTCATACACTCTTTGCATGCAGCATCTGCTTCAAAGAACACAGCAATCCCACTGCATTTCAGAACAAAATATACGTATTGCTGGGAGTGTAATTGAAGGGAATTTGTTTGTCAAGCAGTTTCATGTCTCTTTTGCTTATAATTATAAAGAAAAAGCTTTTGTTTAAATGGAAAAAAGCAATTTCCCTAATCCTTCATCAGTCCTTTATGCATTTTTTCCTTTCCGCAACCATATTTCCTGGCAGCGACTGTTTATCTCACACATATTTCTGCCTTTTAAAATATTTGCTTCGTGTAACTGATGGAGAACATCTTTTTTTTTGCTCATTATGGGAGACTTAGAGAGGATTTTAGGACAGTATAAAGCCAAGTTTTAGTCTGAATAAGTGAGAAATGCTTTTATGATGGAATCAGGAATAATGTAGAAAGAGAGAGACCTGTTAAACTTAGATAAAAGAGAAATCCAAAGAAGTATGAGATAACAACCTCTAAGGGATTGCAGAGGAAATAAAAATAGGACTTGATATTTATATATCAGAATTATCATAGTTATTTCTAACAAAAATTTAGAGGAGATATAAAATTTCATGTTTTAAAGTTTAAGATAGTGCAAGGCTTAGAGATAAAGCTGAGACACTTTTAGCGGGCTAGTTATACCACTATTATGGTCAGTTGTGAAGTGTTTTGTAACTTCTTAAGCACCTAGTGCTTGCTACTGATGGAGACAGGACATAGAGCCTCAAGTTTAATCCAATGTGGCACTAGTATATTGCTATCCAAAGAAGTCATCATATGTCTTTCACAAAACTATCTTCATGCTTTCTACCACTAAAATCTCCAAACATGGAAAATCTCAACTGCATCATGCAAAAAGCCAATGTGCCGTTTTTCAAATTCTTCCTCAAAACCTACTTCTGTCATACAACCAGCTTATTAAGCCAGTAAGGGCTTATAGTTTATTGTTGTTGTTATTGTAGTTTTTGTTGTTAATGACTGTGGCTGCCCTCTAGAAGGTTTGGAGAAAACTTCAAGATGTTTTACTTCTCTCTGGGCATGTCTACACATGACATTACGTCACTGTAGCAATGAGCTATGGTGACGTAGCTTGGCACTATGGCGGCGTAATGTTGACACGTACAAATAATGACTCTGATGCTACTGCTAGTTGCTACAGTGCAGTAGGGTCAGAGACGACTTGTGCACGGCTGGACTGTGCAGTAATTGAGGTTTTTTAGTACTTGCTAAAGCAAGTATTAAATGACTGTGCAGTAACAAATGCACAGTCAGGGGCACGTGTAGACGCAACCTCTGTAGACTCACCAAATTTCCCTGGATAATGAGTCCCTCTGTTTTCTGTGGAAAGAAAGCTGGTGCAATTCATTTTTACATTAGCCTTTCAGAGAGTCAAAGGCAGATATTAGATAGTTCTTTGAGAAGAATTCCTGTGTAGATAAGATGTCAATAGAGTAATAATTTGACAGATTATGGAAAAATAAAAGACCACTTCAGACGCATTAAAAAGCTGTTGTATAAACAGTCATTTTTAAATAAAGTGAGTTATTCTTTCTGTGCTTCATGTAGAAGCAGTGCTGTATGTTCTTGTGCAAAATATTTTGAAGCTCGGTTTCCATAGTTACAACTAAGAGACAAGGACAACAAGGAAAAAGACATAGATAGTGGCTGATGTTCTGGTACTTGGATGCCTCTGTCTATTGAAATGGATGGGAATTAGGTCTTCAGATCAGCTAGGCTGCCTGGAAAATGTCATCCTTGGCTTTCAGCTACTTTCTGGCTACCAAACTATTCAACTTTCACAGTACTCCTAATTCCAACTGTTGCTCACTCTATAATGTGGTTGCACACAATTTCTAGATGAGGATGTGACATTAAGATAAGTTGCTAGACAGTACTTTTTTTTTAAAAAGTCCAATTTCAATGCTATAGAAAAAAAGTATGGTTGTCATCAGAACTCTTGCCTTTATTCTTAAAATTAAAGTGTTCATTCTTCATTTGGGAAAAGTGCAGAATCTCAGGAAAGTTTTTATTTTACAACCATGAGGGTTTTCCACTGCAAAGGACTAAACATTTAAAGGGGTCCTGCAAAAGAAATATGTATATATATTGCTGTCCAGGTAAAATGTACAACAGAGGCTGTTCAGGAAAAGAAAAACATAACCCACTTTGACTGAAAACTTCATAGTAATCTCTAGTCAAATTATCTCCTTGTTTGAAAAAGGAAGGTACCCTTAATAGGTTTTGAAAATTAATTATTTGGCATGTTCTGAGAGATCAATCTTAAAGTACATTTCCAATTAGCTAAATAAATATCCCAGAAGAGCAGATTTAAATAAGAATTCTGTAACTGACCAACTCTGTTATCTTGGTTTCTACTTGGATAAAACAGCAAGAGACTAATTTAGCCTCGGAGCTAGGTATTTCAGCTCAGCTTGCTGGCTTTTAATGAAATTGAAACAGAAACAAGTAATTGCTTTTTACCAAGCAGTTAAATAAATGAAGGTTTTTTTGTACTCAGATATTGATTAACTATTCATTTTCCTTTCAGCATTCTCAGTCATGTTGTTATCCCTATATAGTTAAGACCATATTCTTCCACTCCCTCTTCTGTACTGTACTCTTTAAATTATACCATTGAAATCAACAGGTACTACTCAATGGAAAGAAAAGTACCTGAATCTGGCCCTTAGACAATATACTGTTCTCTAGGCCATTCTTTAGGGAAAACAACAACAACAACAGTAATAATGCAGTTTCAGTAAAATATTATTGTATTTATCTGCATACCACACTCACCTTTTTCCCAAAAATTAGTTGGGTGCATGTTTTAAGGGTGAGGGAGCAACTTTTATGCCCAGATAGGAGCATGGAGATTATTCTTTTCCTTCTCTTTTAACTGCTTGGAGGGAGGAGCAGAGGTCAGGAGAGTGGGGGGGGTGCAGCAGTGTGCTTGCACCATTTGAGTCCTTCTCCACTCAAAGCTTAAAACTAGTTGTCTGGAAGCAGAAATGGCATTTCCATGCAGGCAGTAGTGATAGAGTCAATTGACTTCATGATTTATTATAATCTACCGGATGTCTGGCAATTCTAATGGTTAAAAGCTCTTCACTCAACAGATGTCAACCATCTCCTCTTCTTCTTAATGATCTTAATGTTCAACAACTAATCAAGCATGCTTTCTTTGATAACTTTGCTGTCTGCTAACTGTTCCTGTTCTCTACTCTCCTATTTCTTAACCTTGCTGACTATTTTGGTGCTTTCAAAATCTGTTACCCATCCCTGGAATCCAGTCTTCAGTAGCAGCTACAAGTTCACATTTGGCTGGCAGTTCACCTTTAAAAGCGTTAAAAGTATAGCTTTTGCCTATGCAGGAAAGAGAGGGTGAGTGAGCTGAAGATTAATCTCTATCCCTGATATGTGCAGAAGGCAGGATAGATATGAACCTTTAAAAACTAACTAAATAAGGTATATAGAGGCAGCACAAGCTTTTGTGAACCCAAGTTGACTTCATCTGGTGAAGTTCACAGCATCAGCTGAAGTGAACATGGGTTCACAAAGGCTTGTGTTCTCTTTATATATCTTATTCAGTTGGTCCCTAAAGGTGCATATCTACCCGGTCTTCTGACTGACTTCAGATTGACACGGCTAATTATGTCTCCCTGTTCTGTTTAGTCATAACTCTTTTTTTCTTCATCAAAAACAAGGTACATATGGTATGCTAAGAAATACGGTAACAGCTAGACTTGCCTAGTAATTAAGCTAGACTTGCCAAGTAATTAATTTCTAAATGTAGCATGCCATAATTAACAAAAGGTTATCCAGTGACACCTTTAATGCTAAGCAAGCGAGGAAATCAATCATCAGATATAAATGCCGTTTGAATTCTCGTTCAATATACAAAGTTTTGGCCATGCATCCTTGTTTACATAAGGAAGAAACCTCTTTTTCTAGAGACCTTCCATATAAAAAAACAAAAGTCAGCTCCCTTCAGAACAATCTTCATTCTCATCCATACCTTACAGAGTCCTGTGGGCTGTACAGAGCAAGAGAATCAGAGAAGAAAAGCCTAATTAATAACCTGTGAAAGTGATGAAATAATATGGGCTAAGGTAACTTAGAACCTGGTAGTTTCAGGGACAGGCACTATTTAACAAATCTCAGAAAAGCTTGTAGATGTGGTGTCTTCACTTGGACAAAATACTTGTAAAAATTTTGATTAGTCTTAAAATAAAATGTCTGCCATACAAACACACACATTCATATATGCGCACATGCACACACCCACACAAATGATCTAAATAGATATGTATAAAGTCTGAAATTTCCCTTGAATCACAAATGCTGATACATTTGTATTCTGGAGAAACTAAAATATTGTGTTTCAGAAACCAAACAGGATTTCAAGACTCTATAGCCACTTAGTGAAATTGACATTTGTGTCGGTTTTGTTGCTAAGAACAGCTGTGAAAATGACATGAACATCAATTTCCTGAAGCAGCCCTGGGCTAGGTGAACTGCACATGTGGCTTTTGTGCAGCCTGCCCTTGGAGATTGTTATAGAACCAGCAAGCCTGGAAGCTTATCACATGACTTCCACGCTCTGAGTTCAGGCTCTGTAACAGGGATACCTGAGTCTCTGAGAGCTTCAGTTCTGATCAGGGTGATCAGGGCTTCCAAGCACACTGTAGCAGAGTTGGGAACCAAGCCCTTGTTAGAATTGGGACGCTCATGGCTTTTGATCCTGGTATGCCAGAGTTTCTGGCACTGATGTAGTCTATGTGGTGCATCTCCTCCCTTAGACAGATCGTTGTAAAGCCAGGGGTTCCTAGCTCTAGGGCAGACCTTCTAAGGAGATGTCTTAGAACTAAAGACAAGGATCTTCCTGGCTTCATGGTAGATGTGCCTTGTAGAACTGTGTCTCAGAGCTTCTAAGGTTCCCAGCCTGAGAGAGACTCTGGACATCCAAGCAGGGTGCTGTTCAAAACCCTCTTAGATTCAGCCATAATTTATGGAACCTAAGATATTTTGAAGAAAACATTCCAGGTCCAATGAATTGGGGTTTTCCAACCAAACTTTGGGTTCTTATAAAATATCTAACCAGCCCTAGTAACAATAGTTTTCAGGGATGCTAAGACGGAATGCAAGTGACCTGTGAGAGGCAAAGCCTGCTCCTTCCCTGACTGTTTTACCAAGTAGGAGGTTGTTCAGTCCCTCCTATATTTTTAAACATACTTTGTTTTAAGAGGGGGCTGAAGTATGCTTCAGTTTCAGTTACATAGGCTGAAGAAATAAGATAATCTAGGCAGCTTTGTTAGAAAGAGTGAAGCTTTGTTTGCAGAAAAATGGGCATGGTTTGAAGGAGAGAGTTTATCCTTGGAAGTGAGGTACTGTTCATTAGAAAATGAAGGTAATAAAGCTAACTGATGCTTTGAGGGATTGTTTGCCAAAAAAGCATAGACTGTTCTGCTCAATAGCAAAATTCAGCCTGGTTCCCTCAGTGAGATAAATTCCGTCACCAACGTTTTTCCATTCATGAACTGAGACAGCCAACCATCCCTTAAAATTCACTTCTGACTCAAATCATCACAAGGATCAAATATATCTACTATGTGTTTAGTGAAGATTTTGACCAACTCTGTTAAATAAAGCAAATATTCAGGGGCAAGCATGCATTTGAAAATATACACCATCCTTTTCAGATAAAGTTTGCAAATCTTTGCTTATTTAGTGGCCTAACTAGCAAAATGCCCATAATGAATGATGGGGGGAGGGGCAGAGCGGGGATGGAGGCCCGCATTTGGCCCTGCCCCCCTTCCCACCACCGCTCCAGGTTCTGTAGTGCTCCCTGCCCCCCACCCCCCTGCTGTTCTGGGTTGTGTTGCTGCTCTGGGTCCAGCCCCACTCCACTCCCTCTCCCCACACCACGTGGCACAGGGAGTGGCCCTAGGGTATGGCACAGGGCGTGTGGGGGCGCGTTATGCATAGCTGCACCGGGACATGTGGCGCGCAACCATGAGGCATCACAAGGGAAGGACCATGGTTCAGGGGCGTGAGGAATGCCTGCCAGCTGCAGCCATGTGGCAGGGGCAGCAGCCTCGGTGTGTGCCATGGGGCACTTGGGGGCCTCGCTGCATGATCATGGGGCATGGCATGGGGAGTGTCCACAGGCTGCACCTGTGTGGTGCAGGGAGCTGTGCCAGGGTGTGACACGGGGTGCATGGGTGGGTGCCACGCTGGAGTGATGGAAGCATGGCACACAGTTCCAGGGTGCCGCAAGGGGAGTGGTGTGGGGGGCATGCCACAGCTTCATGCTGCATCAAGCAGGTGCTTCCGCACCCTCAGTGAAGGCTCCCTGCATGGCGCCCTGTGGCTGTGTGCCCCCCCCAACCCCATGCTCCTCCCCTACCCAGCATGCCCCACAGCCACATCTGACAGTCAATCCCCTCAGGGGAGTGTGGGGGCGCAGCTGCAGGGTTCCACATGGGTGTGGGGGGTGTGCCCCACCCCATGGCCACATGCTGCAGCTGATGGGCACTGTCTGCACACCCCCATTCCAGCTTCCCTCGTCTTCCCCTTCCCTGGTGCAGCAGAGCACACTCTGGCCGCCTCCACCTCTACCTCCACCCATGTGTCCATCTGTCAGTAAGGGGAGGCACATGCACAGTTGGCCCAGAGCATTATGGATAGACAGACACACAGCCAGAAGTGCTACGGCTTTTATTGTATTCGAATTTTGGAACATGATGAAATGTATAATGTCCAGTTAAAATCAGTGGAAATTGATATAGGATCAACCCTTTTTGGAGGATTGGGCCTTGATGTGTTAAGAAATTGTTTGTAGAGCAGAGAACATGATTGGAGCAGTTTCATTGGTAGTCAGAAATATCAGACCACAGATAATAATGGAAGCATAGAGCATTGGAAATAACAGATTTTTTGCTCAAACTGAAAAACAAAAAAACCCAAAAAACTCATTTTATATTGACAGCAATACAATATTTTGAAAATGTCCAAGAATCCAACATTTGTTTCTTGAAGAATTAAACAGATGTTTTAAAAATATGTTTAATAAAAGTGAGGCACATTTTGATATGCAACAATTTTAAATAAGAAAGCCAAAAAGTTCTGTTTAAAAATATCAAAACAAAGTATTTCAGCATTATTGTTTTTTCCTCTCCTGCCTGAAACAATTTACTCAGGTTTACATGAACTTGCAAAATTATTTCTTTTTCCTAAATCTCCCTTTTTTGGTCAAAAATGTTTCAGAGAAAACATTTTGCCAAATTGTATAGAAGCCTGAGTTGACGATGAAGGGCTTTGAATAGGCCATGAGTCCTTTTCTAAATATTATTTTAATAGATTTTTTTTCTGACACTTTAGACAGCACACGTTTATGTAAGTGCCAGCTGAAGAATAACTATTTTGTGCAAATAATAAACAATTCAAAATTGACAGACTTTAAAGTAGGCTAATCCTCTTAGCAAAATAATGTGCATACACATCTGTTTTTAAAAATTAGCCAATGCTCAGCCTATTGTTTGATAGTTAAAAATCAAGCTTGCTGTCACTCCTCTTCTGAAAATTTAAATTGCTTGCATACCTAGCTTTCGTTTGAATGTCATGAATTCAGCTAACCAATAATATATTAAATTCATTTTCCCTACTGTTCTACAGATACCCCATCAAGTGTGCAAGCTTCAGTTTCTATGGAAACTAAAGAAAAGAGTTTTGTCTTTAGTGCCTGTCTTCAATATAAATAATGCTATTTTTTCCTTCTTTCTTAGGTGCCTATCCAAGACTGTCACTGAGCTTTAAGTTGAAGAGAAACATTGGATACTTTATTCTTCAGACCTACATGCCCTCAATACTGATTACCATTTTATCATGGGTGTCATTTTGGATCAATTATGATGCATCAGCAGCACGAGTTGCCCTTGGTATGTGATAAGGATGAGTGGGACATTAAAATGTCAGATTAAGTGTAGCCTTCAGAGATTGTAAAAGACTGCATCATGATGTCAGTATTTTGAAATTCCAGATCCTTTTCACCAGAATCATGTCATTCTGCATTGCCTCAATAGTGGCGTGTTTTCCCCTCAGTGTAGAAAAATGTAGCTACTGTTAAATCTGTAATGCTAGTTGCTCATTTAGGGCTCTATCTTGCTCTCATCAAAGTTAATGGCTCTTTTTCCCTGATTTCAGTGAAGGGCAGATTCCAGGAGCATATGTTAGGAATCTGATCAGCACCTGCATTCAGGGTTAGCACAGCTGAGTGTAGGAAGACAAAAAAGTGACTCTTAACCTTCAATCTTGGGGTTTATCAGGGTCTAAGCCAGCCTCTGCTCAAGTTATGGAGCAATTCTTTCTTAAACTGGCAGGAACAGTCCTCCAGACCCATGCTGTTGCCCGGGAATTGTCAGAGTGCAGTAGACTGCAGCAACAGACATAATGTTGCCTTTCCCTCTCAAAACATCCAGGATTCAGAGTAGGTACAGCAAGTGGCATACTCCTAGCTACCACTTCTACCTACCCAATAGGGGCAAAGCAGAATTTAGTACTGGTTGATCTGATCCCAGACATTTTCGGTTTAATGTTTTCATTAGATCTGGTGACTCTGGTTCAGGTCCTGCTCTCTGTGTTTTGATTCTCACATTCAAGGCAGCACAGTGGCCCACCTTCACCAGGTGGCTGGAAAGCCACCACACTACAGCCAGTGTGGCCAGTAGCGTTGTGCAGAGAACTCTTGGAAAAACGAAGGTTTGAACCTCTGGGACTCAGAGGGGATCTGAAGCTGGGTCTTTTGTCAGCTGGCAAGTGCCACCTTGTCATCTGGTTGTGTTTTATAACAAAGCAGTGACATTCAGGAGAGGGCTTTGGCTCCTGGCTCTGAAGTGGATGAGGTTCCTCTCTGCAGCTGAGTCAGGTATCTAAGCTCAATAAAGGGGCAGAAAGTTAGACATACCCTTGCATTCATCATTTCATCCTGGTTAGCTCTATGCAGCCCCTAACTTAATATGAAGGATATTTTGTATTGACATTCAGAGGCATCCAACTTACTCCATGCCCTGTATAGGGAGTCACATTGATTGCCATTAGAGTCTACAGTCCACTCTGGGGGACATACACTAAAACTTTGGCAGCACAGTGGACACATCTACACCAGATGCTATGTCACTATAGCAACGAGCTGCAGTGATGTAGCTCATTACTATGGTAATGTAGCATTGATAGGCACAAATGGTGACACCGCTACTATGTTGCCGTAGCAATGAGCTACCTTGTTATAGTGCATCGCTATGGCGACATAGCTGCTAAAAATAACTGTGCACTGCTGAGATGGCATAGTAACAACTGCACCATGGGGGGCACGTGTAGACATGCCCAGTGTCTAGAGATTAGGTGCCTATTTCCTTTATTAGACCTACCCCTACATTCCCTGGTTAAATCTCTAAGGGGTGATTGGTAAACAATTTAATTAGATGCTCCAGGGTATGTTACAGAAGTTTATGACTCTCAGTGATTGACATGGGGATTGGTTTGATCTCTGCCTTACTTTGAAGTCCTTTCATGGGAGGAAGCAGAAGGAAAAACTCCACCACAAAGAAAGTAATTTATGTGATACATCTGTAGAAAAGCTGGACTCCCTGGGCACTGTTCCTTGGGAAAATATCCTCTCTCTTCCAGTGCTAGAATGAGCTTTCGCGTGGAATTTATATGTGTTTTGATAACTATAACTCCAATGTATCAGTTACAGTTCTAGTTTTATTTCAGAATTGGATGTTATAGCCCATGCAATTTTTTAAATAAGCTGTTATAGGATAAAATTTCACTTTATTTCAAGCCATGAAATAGTTTAGATCAATGCACAATTGTTTTACAATGTTTATTAATCATTTGGATGCTGGCATAGAAAGGTTTGTGAGTAAGTTTGTGGATGTCATGAAACTGAGAAGAATTGTGAACACATTGGAAGATGCAAGAAAAATTCAGAAGAACCTTAACAGATTGAAAAGTTGGGCTACAGCTAACAGGATGAAGTTCTATGTGGACAAATGCAAGGTGCTACACCTTGGGAAGAATAATCAAAATCACAGATACAAAATAGGGGGCACCTGGCTGGATGGAAGCTCTATGGAAAAGGACTTGGAAGTCTTGGTATATCACAGACTTAATATGAGTCTGCAGGGTGATGCAGCTGCACAAAAGGTGAATGCATTTTTTGGATGCATCAGTAGAAGTGTTAGGTGCAAGACATGGGAGGTGTTAGTGCATCTGTACTCAGCACAGCTTAGGCCTCATCTGGAGTACTGTGTGCCATTTTGAATTCCACATTTTAAAAAGGTTGTGGAGAAGTCAGAGAGCGTCGGCAGGCAACAAAGATCAACAAGGATTTGGAAAACAGGTCATTTGAGGACAGACTGAAGGAGCTAGGTATGTTCAGCTTGCAGAAAAGGTACTTAAGAGGGGACAGGATAGCAGTCTTCAAATACTTGAAGTGCTGCCATAAAGAAGAGGTAAAGCACCTTTTCTCTCTTGCTGCAGAGAGGAGGATGTGGACCAATGGTTTGAAGTTGTAACAAAGTAAGTTTATATTGGATATCCAGAAACACTTCTTCACTGTTAGAACAGTGAGGCGGTGGAAAATACTGCCTAGGGAAGCTGTGGACTCTCCATCACTAGAGTTGTTCAAGGAGAGGTTGGACAGCCACTGCTTGGGGATGATTTAGGCATAGCTATGCTTATGTTCTACCAGGGG